ATTGTTTGAAACTTTTAATACCATGCATTTAGTACTTCATCATGAAACAAGCACAAGTATCATATTATTCCACTTTAAAATTTTCCAACAGCTATCCAATGGTTGCAAGATAAAACTCAACATTACAGTCTCCTTTAGCTCTATCACTTCATCAGTTAGCTTCATGAAGTGACGCCTTGCTTTTCTCTTTTTCTCCCAGACAACAACTCTGCTAGGGTTATCAAAGATGCTCAGCTCTGGGACTTCCCTGGTGGTCCAGTGGCTAAAACTCTGCACTCCCAATGCAGGGAGCCCAGGTTCCATCCCTGGTTGGGGAGCTAAGATCCTGCATGCCACTCGCCAGAGCCAAAAAATAAAAAATAATTAAAATTGTAAAAAGATGCTCAGTCCTGAGTAATAATAAATAATAGCTACATTAAAGTATCTACAGTGTGTCAAGCGCTTTACATGTAATCTCATTTTTCAACCCTGTAAGGCAGGCATTACCATCTAATTTTTTTTTTAATGAGGATCCAAGGTTAAGTGACTTCCCCAATGGGACACAGGTACTGGCCGAGGTAAGATTTGAACCCAGTTCTGCCTAATTCTAAAACTTAGGCTCTTTCCACTCTTCCATGCTATTTCTAGAATGATATGTTCCCAGCATCTGGCCCCATCATCTAGAGGAACATTACTTCCTATCTTTAACACTTTAGGAGGCAGCCTAGTATAGTATTTCAGACTATGAGTTCGAGGCAAACTACCTGGGTTCAAATCCTAGCCCTACAACCAACTAACTGTGTAACCTTGAATAAGTTAATTTCTCCAAACTTCAGCTTTTCCATCTGCAAAATGAGTATAATAGATCTTCTCACTCAGAATTGTTTTTAAAAGATGATCCAATATAAAATACTTAGTACAATGTGTGGCAAATAGTATGCATAACTTCAATAAAACATAGCTATTATTATCATTATACTGCAGGTGCATCTCAAAATTCTGTTGATCCTTTTGTTCATCTGGAATTCCTGGTCAGTACATCTGAATCCTGATTTTCCATATCCTAATTGTCCCTTCTATGCATTTCTGTGTAGCATAATTATATTGTATAGGCTTTCCTTTTTGAGTGATTTTTCCAAGACATAGCTCTAGATACACAAATTTTAATTCATACATTAAACAGCTAATTGCTCAAATGCTGATCACTTGTTAGGGTGTTAAGAATGTAATGATTTAATTGTCAAGTTGCTTTAGCATTTCTTATATAAATGATAACAATAGTAATTCTTTTATTGCAGGATTCATCTTTTTTTGCCCTGTGTGTAGTGATCAGTTCTACTTGCTTGTCTTCATAGTGGAACCTCAGGATGGCCAGAGTAACCTACTGGTGTGTATTCTCATCTGCTCTCTGTTGGCTCACTTTCTGTGTCAGGTATCAAGTTTGGACATTGCCTTGAAATGAAAGTCACTCAGTCATGTCTCTTTGTGACCCTTTGTTTTAGGGAAGTCAATCACAAACCAGCCCTGGGCTGGATACTATTTGTCTTGTGCTTTGTATAAGCATTCAGATAAACTATCTGGACAGGGCCTTGGGTATTTTCAGTACCTATGCAGTCATTCCAATGTAGTTTTGCCTTTTCCCTACTGCTGTCATGACTTCTTTTCAAGAAATGGCAGCCTATGGCCCTCAACAACTTTAGTGGTACCTCCTGTGGCTTCCTTTTCACAGCTCTTGGCCGTTTTTCCTCTATACCTTTTAAGATATTCCTTTTGGTCCATACCTATTGTCTTCTGTGAATGAAGTGAAAGTCACTCAGTTGTGTCCAACTCTTTTGTGACCCCATGGACTGTATCCTCTGTCCATGGGATTTCCCAGGCAAGAATACTGTGCCATTCCCTTCTCCAGGGGGATTTTCCTGACCCAGGAGTCGAACCCAGGTCTCCTGCATTACAAGCAGGTTCTATACCATCTGAGCCACCAGGGAAGCCCCTATTGTCTAAGATCAATAAATCTAACAATACCCTTACTCCTCCATGGAATGAAAATGAAAGTTACCAGACTTTTTCCATCAATCTCTTTTGAGTCCAGCAAAATGCCAACAACAAAAAAATGAGGCTGAGAGAATAAGGAATCTTAAAAGAAGCCCTACTGGGAGGACTGGATTAAAATCTCCCTAAGCCAAAATTTTGTACTAAGGGAAAATTGGGTAAAAAAGGACCATCGACTGCTTTCCATGTAAAGGCTATTTTACATGGGGTTTACTGAATTTTTTTTTTAATTCACACTCCTCGTGATTTGTTGGCATAAATACCAAGTTCTTACTTGATTTCTGTGTATCAGTTATCCCTGATGCTCATTCATGGGCAAGGGCCTTAGGGATAGTATGGTTCCAGTTTTCACAGTATGCTTGGGTAGACCCTAGAGACAGTGCCTTAGTCACTAGGGGGAGGTGCTGCACAGGGAGGGGGAGGAGACAAGAAGGCCTCCAGACAACGCCCCCCACCAGAGCAACTTTGTATTTCTATTTTATATCTTAGATTCCATTTCATTTCAGGAAAAGTCTGCTAATCCAGTCCTCTTGTTTTACAGTTGAGGCTTGAATTTTCTACCCTCAATATTTGAAATGAGGACTTTGAATGTCATTAGGGCTGACAGTACCCTTCTTTGAATGTCATTAGGGCTGACAGTACCCTTTCTATCAAGGTTCTGAAATAAATTTCTGAGACTGACAAACAAGAGCTCAAATTGTTGCTCTGGGACTTAACCTCCAAGAGGATGTGGGCAAATGGTCTACTTTTTCTTTCCCCTTGTGTCTAGCAGCAACAAACATATACTTGGTGCTCAAGTGTACTGCCTGAATCTGACAGACCCACCTCTTACTATGTATGTTAGCTGAGCAAGCAATACTACTTTGTAAGAACAGACAATTCGGTTTGTGTCCAAAGGTAATGAAGAATAAATGATGATACAGTAAAATAAGAAATTATACAGTAAAAAAAAATACATGTGTATGGTAGTTGTTCAGTCGTGTCCAACTCTTTGTGACCCATGGACTGTAGCCCGCCAGGATCCTCTGTCCATGGAATTCTTCAGGCAAGAATACTGGAGTGGTTTGCCATTCCTTCCTCCAGTGGGACACAAACATGAACTTGGGCAAATTCCAGGAGATAGTGAGGGATAGGGAGGCCTAGCATGCTGCAGTCCATGGGGTTACATAGAATCACAACTTAGTGACTGAACAAAAAAAAATGATCAGTGCATATCCCCAGGCCCCATCTTCAATCAGTCTCCAATGTATTTCTTACTATCCTCCTTACTTCACCTTCAGCCACACTCACTTTCAGATTCTTTACTACACTGGTGTTCCCTCCTTAGGGCCTTTGGACTTAGAATCACCCTTACCTGAAATGTTCTTCTCTCAGATACCTACATGACTTGGTTGCTTAGTTCTTTCAGGTCTCTGCTGAAAGGTCACCTCCCCCAGGAGGCCTTCTCCTACCATCTTTAGCTAAAATAACAATGCCGCACAAACATTCCCTGATATCCTCACTCTGCTTCTTCTGCATGGCACTCCTTATATTGACATATGGATGTGTTTGTGGCCTGTCTCCCCTCACTAAAACAGAAGCTGCATGAAGGCAGGGACTATTTCTGAGCACTGCTGACATCCTGGTCCCCAAAACGGTGTGTGGCAGAGTAAGTACTTAAATGTTTATTTTATTGTGTTTTCTAGAGTTTTCAAACTTTCCTTGTAGTGCCTATATGTGGGAAGTTAAGCAGGGACTAGAGGCTTCTAGAAATGTGTATTTCCCAGTCTTCATGGATTGGCACTAGAGGCTCCCGACAAGAGTTCCAATTTAGGTCTATACTCCATCCCACTAGGATGTGAAGTAAGAGGAATGGGATCCAGTTTCGAGAATCTCTTCCACTACACTCAGGGAACTGACCGTCAGTACTGAACTCCTTCCCCTCCATCTCATTTCAAAGTCCTCTTTTCTCTCAGAAAGGTCAGGGGTTGCTGTAATACCGTGCCATAACTTGAACAGAACAGGTACCCAGGCTGAGTACATTTCAGCCTTGGAACCAGCCCACTTGGAACCAAATCTCTCCAGGGTGTAGGTGATAATCAGAATACAAAGCCTTCTCAGTCACAGACTTGAATCTTGTAGCTTTTATTTCAGTGATTAAAAGATGCAGTAAATGGAAACTACACTGATTTACATTAGGCATGCACCTCGACCTGATACTGCTGTTAGTTTCTGACTGACCCAAATCTTAATTTTTTTCATTGAGGCACATCGTTAAAATTTTTTTGAACTCTGACACACAGGGTAAATTAACTTCTTCTCTGGCAGTTTAGTATGAAAATTACGTTCACTGGCTAGATTCCTTTAACTAAAGGCCTCTAGACTCTCAGGCAACCTGTACTAGCTCGAGATCATGTCATATAGATATTTAAGTGAATCATGGTATAAGGGAGACAGAGAATCTAGAAAGCTGAAATATATTTTTTCCAGCACTGATAATTAAACACTAGATAAGGAGGCCTACAGTTGAGTACCAAATTACTCTTCCCCTACTGCTGCCATTTCTGAGAGACACAAAGATGTATACTGATCTCCCCCCAAATCTGAAATGAATCCACACAAATAACAGATTATTACCTATCTGGTCCCAGTATCAAATTATAGAGCAATTCCACTATTAAAATTATAGGAAGCAGTTAATGGGACTACAAGAAAAGCATCATCCCACAAACAGTAATATGCATCTAGTAGAGTTTTTCATTCATCTGTCAATTGTTTTCACAAGATTAGCATTAAAAAAACACAACCCCAAATACATCTGACCCTCAAATCCCCCACATCAAAAATTGGTCTTTGTTCATTCTCAGATGACAGGATGTCCCAAGAGTGACAAAGGTGGGGGCCAATTCCCCCATAGCCTTTTCTTCAACTATCCCATCAACCACTCTTCATCTCTTGAACTACCTTCCTTTTCCAAAGAGGTAATGCTGAGGTCAGTCAGAAAGGCTTTCTGAGAAGACTGGCTTGGATTTCTGTGTCTGTTCCAGTCGATTCAAGATGAATTGGCTTGTGTCAATGAAGCGCTCAACGCAGTTCACAAAACAGGCCTCAGCCCGACTGTCCAACTTTGGCCCAGGCTTGTCCATGCACTTTTCCTGCTCAGGACAAGATACAGAATTACAAAGGGAATTTGGGAAAAAAAAAGAAGGTGGACCTTCTTGTTGCTTAGAGGAAAAACTTCACCTAAAAACAGTATCTGATATGTTAATCACAATTCACACTCAACAGTTTACTTTGTGGCAATTTTCCACAGCCTTAAATTCTCACAGCAACCCTATGGAACAGATTCTGTTTATTATTAATCTTCATTTTACAAAGAGGGAAGCTGTGGCACAGAGATACTAAGTCACAGGGTCAGAAAATGATGGTGCTGAGATATTACAGAGCAAGACAAATGACAAAATACAAGGAAAGTTATCCCTTCACTGAATTTGGTTACAACTCTACAATGCTGCTTGCATTAAGTGCCTTTAAATTAACTGCAGAATAAATGGGTGAAAGGATAGATCATTGCAGCAAGACACCATAAAAGCTACCAAAGGAAAAAAAAAGTATGACTGGAGATTCCATAATATCTACTGAGGCCAGAGGCTCTTGAATCCTCTCTCAAGACGAATGGAAAATTCTATGAATTTTCCTAAATTGCCCACTGCTTTCAGATTCTTAAAGGAGTCTTTAACCACACCACCACCTGGTCCAAATGTATCGAATCAGATATTTAAAAGAATCAAACCGCTCTAGTTCAAGGCAGATGGGAACTAAGCAATCATTTGTTAAGGGTCAGAGTCCAGCTATACCATAAGTTTATAATTCAAATGAATTTCGTTCATTATTCTGCTGTGTACACAAGCCTCAGAGTTTCCACTTTCAAGGAAATTTATCCTTGGCTTCTGAATTCTGTGAATTTTGTTATGTCAAGGCAGAGTAGTTATGCTGTCCTTGGCAGCCAGAGAACACTCTGATTCCAAGCTGCAAACAAATGCCTTCTACCCTTTTGCCAAAGTCCCCTAACAGGGCATACTCAGTTCCTCAACCTTCAGACCTGAAACGGCTTGGTATTACACAACAATCCAACAAGAAGGCAAAAAAATGTGTATGTTGGTAGACATTACTCCACTTTTTTGGTTCGTGGGTTAGAGCTACTCCTCAGCAGGGACGGTTAGAGCAACTAAGTAATCAAGGCAAACTCTGAGGAGTGCAGGGACGGGAGATTCACTGATTCTCTGGGACTCAGGATGCCAAACATTAAATACCAACAGTGGGGGCGCTCATCGGTCCTGGTGACCAGCACTAGGTAGCTTCAACCTTGAATGCCTAAAGTTCTGGTTGAGACAACAGCATAAGTCTTCTACAATACCCAATCCTCTGCACTAACAAAGCCGAGGTCCGGAGCGACACCCCTCCTGAGAAGCGGAGTCACCCTTTTCCCCTCCCGGCTTAGCCTGAGGAACCTAAGGAAACCAAGGGGTGCTGCCGGGTCCTGTCCCTTCCCCGAATCCTAGACGTCGGGGCGAGTTGCGCGAGGCAAGGACAGGCAAGTAGGTACCGTGGTCAGGTCCCAGCCCCAGGCACCTCACCCAACAAAGCTCCGTCATCTGGTGCACCAGCTGCTGGAAGCGCTGCTTCTGAGTCTCCACCTCAATGAAATGCTGCAGCTGCGGGTCTACCGAGCCCAAACCCGCCGCGGAGGAGGACGAGGAGGAATCCATCCCAGCGCGGTCACGCGTGCGCAGACGAACTCCACAGCAACTCACCGACCTTCACGTGTCTCCGCGGCGGAACCGGAACCACAACCCGCTGCCTCTGGGACCGCCCCGCGAGCGCACTGCGCGGGCGCGCGGCCCGTCCCCGTTCCCCCCCCCCCCCCCCCGGGACCTGTCCCCGTCCCTCCTCCCCGCCCCCTCCCCCCCATCTCGGGTTCTGGGCTCTCCTTCCAGCCGTCCACGCGCCTCCCTCCGCCCCGTGCGCGACCCCGGGGCGGCGCCGTGTCTGCGACTGGAGGTCTCAGGACTGTCCGCCCAGCTCCGTGGCGCTGTCGGGACGTTATTTCAAAAAGAAAAGAAGAAGGTTAAAAAAAGGAAGTTACTTCGGACCATGTGGCCCGTTCCCGACAGGCCCAACAGCCCTGCCCCAGTCGGGTTCCAAACTGACCCACGCTTTCCCCGCTGCCGCGCTGGTGCTCGGCAGGGACTGCTGGGCCTGTAGCTTTGCTGTCCTGGGCCCCTGGCTCTAGTTCTTTAATGGAATTTACCCCGCCTGACGTAGCAAAAAGTGGCGCTGGCAGATTTTGTCTCCACCTGTCAGATTCATTCCGATGATATCAAATGCCTACCCCATGCCAGGGTTTGTGATTTCTTTGTGATCACTGTCTGTGATTCAAATGCTTCCCTGGGGGCTCAGCGGTAAAGCATCACCTTGCATTACAACGGACCATCTACAAGGCGGGAGACGCGGGTTTGATCCCTGGGTCAGGAAGATCCCCTGGAGTAGGAAATGGCAACCCACTCCAGTATTCTTGCCTGGAAAATTTCATGGACTGAAGAGCCTGGCAGGCGACAGTCCATGGGGTCGCAAGGGTTGATCACGACTCAGCAACTAAATCACCACCACCACCTGTTTCAGAAGCAGAATCTACCAAGAGTCAGAGGGCCTAAAAGGACTTCCCTGGTGGCTCAGATGGTAAAGAATCTGCCTGAAATGCAGGAGACCTGGGTTCCATCCCTGGGTGGTTAAGATCTCCTGGAGAAGGGAATGGCAATCCACTCCAGTATTCTTGCCTGGAGAATTCCAGGGGCAGAGGAGCCTGGGCTACAGTCCCTCCTATCAGATACAGCTCCTCAGATACAGCTGAGCGACTAACACAGAGGGGTTAAATGTGGAGAATCCCGTGGAGTTCTGAAAGTAGAAATGTGACAAACCAATCCCACACAGTAGTTTCCTGGAACACCGAGATAGGGCGCTTCAGGGAGGCTGCATGATTAATCCAAATAGCAAGAAACTTGCATGCTTTCCAGTAATTTTATTTTATCAAAACACCCTCCCCTTCCATTTTTATGACACCATTTTATTCCTGCCAAGTTCTACCTCCCTCCCCTCAAGCTCTATTGCCTACCCAAAGAGCTGTTGGACCCATTGTGAGGCTATTTACATCCCTCCCTCCCTCCAAATGATTCCATCCCACATTCAGTCTGTTTTAATACTTTTGGGAAATTTCCTCTCTGGGGGAAAATACCAGGCACAAAAATTCCTTGGCCTTTGCTCAGAAGGTATTAATAGTATCCCAGGGAAGAGATAGAAAGGCATTCCTAGATCTGGAGAGGGGCCTTTGTGTATTCAGCAAGGGCACAAAGGGCCTGGGATTTCCTCAGAGAAAGTGAAATTGAGATTGTGGAGGAGAGGAGTATAACCAAGAAGCTTATTGGTGAGCTCAGGACTCTTCATCCATGACATCTAGAATGTTGCTCAGAAGAATTTTGAAAGTGGGACGTTCATCTGCTTTCTAAAACCAAAGAAAAAAAATAGAGTGTTATAGTGGGCTAGAGTCCAGAATTCAAGGGAAACACAATGAGTAAACAGCAAATGTTTATGAAGTTATACTATATGCCCAGTAGCATACCCTGTGGATTACCCAAAAAGAGAGAGAGAGAAATAGAAGTATTCCATAAAGTCCTTGTGCACTTTAAATCTTTAGTAACTCGGGTTATTAATGTGGTGAGGAAATTTTGAAAATTATTCTCACAAACACTGATTGAAACTAAAGCCAAATTCATCATACCAATGCATTCTTATTTTGGACCCTCAAGTGGCTACCAAACAAATTTAAGTGGTTGACTGAACTGAAATCCTATAAGCTGTGATAATTTTGGTTTGGTTTCAACCACTTGTTTCTACCATCCTAAAGCCAAAGTTAACAAAGGAATGAACATGTCAAGAGGAGGAGCTGCTTCACTGGGCAGGCATCCTAAGCACCTGGGACCTCTTATTACCACCATCTGGCCTCCAGACTAAGGCCTTTTGTGATAGCCATGGTCCATAAGCCCCTGAGGTATTTAGTGATTCAAGATATATTCATGTAAGAAAAGTCTCAATCCATCAGAACCCAAAAGTCATCAACTTCTTGTTCCTTTGAATCTGATTCTGAAACCTGAGTATCAGAATTTCCTGGGAGGTTTAAAAAGACATACCCAAGTTCCACTCTAGACATACCTAATCAGAATCTCTGGAAGTAAGGCCCAGTCATCTGTAGTTTCAAGAGTTCCCCAGAGATTCTGATGTGATCTAGTTTCATGACCACTACGTTAACAGGCTGTGGAGAAAGTACCTATCTGAAATACTTAACTAGCAGAGTGAGGATGAGCTAGCTGGGAGAGAGCAGCAGTCAATTACCCTCAATCCTGCCCAGCACAGGAGAGAGGAGGGAAATGACTCTTGGGGTTCTCCCTTTCTCCACACTTTCTTTGTGACCTCAGTCATTTGTCAAAGGGAAAAGAGCCATGCTCTGATCCAGATGCCTACTTTTTACCCCACTAGGGTGGCTCCAGATTCACATACGTGCTTGCTGGACACTGTCAGTCTTTCCATGTTACTAATGGGGCAGAACTGAGAGCTGAGCACTCATTTCCTACTAGAGATTTAGTTTGCCAAATTAAGGTTGCCAAGGATCTATAGAAAATGGAGTAGGCACCCCTGAAGAACCCAAGGTGAGAGCAGCAAAGCATTTTAATAATAGTGGGACAGGCTCTTTATTTTCAAAATACCACATCTACCCACATATCCCATAATGCACTGTATTTAAAAAAAAACCACGAGAACTACCTATTTTAGTTCCCTTTCAGGTGTTAGCATTTTAAAAAAATCTCATTTAGGACCACAGCCAGAGAAAGTGTGCAGTTAGTAAAGTAGAAGAAAGGGCCAATGACTCCCAAAGGAATGAACACAAACTTTAATTAGTTTTCTTTTTTAATGTCCATACTCTTGTCTGAATGCCTCTGGCTGCCTACTTATGCTAGGTGACATGGCCCCATGACACCCCTCTCCCTAAAGCCAAAATGGTATTGGGGTCTTCTAATGCTCCTCCTCTTGGGACTTCCCTGGTGGCTCAGAAAGTAAAGTGTCTGCCTACAACCTGGGTTCGATCCCTGGGTTGGGAAAACCCTCTGGAGAAGGAAATGGCAACCCACTCCAGTACTCTTGCCTGGAAAATCCCATGGACGGAGGAGCCTGGTAGTCTACAATCCATGGGGTTGCAAAGAGTCGGACATGACTGAGCGACTAAAGAAAAAAACTAGTGCTCCTCTAGTGAGAATTGGAGTGGGCCTGGAAAAACTGGCCATGAAAGGGTTGGGATGTAGGCTGGGGTTTGAGAATGTGTACAGCTATCTGTCTGTGCTCAGTTACTATATGGTGAGGGAGAGTAGGGTGTGGGTGCTTGGTCAGCTAAATGGGAAAGTACGTTCAAGGAAATAATTTAAGAGGTCCCACTAAAACACTTACCTCATGCCAGCAGCTGTACATGATGGTATATACCCTCTCCGAAGCGAGATGAGGCCTGTAGAGACGTAGGCCTTGGGCAATGTGTTCAGCTGTTTCACTGTTAGTAAATCTCTCATATGGCATCTTCCCCAGAGAGTAAATTTCCCACATCAGCACCCCTAGAAAATGAAAAAAACAATGTGCTGTTTCTGGGTAGGAGGGATCCTAGTGTTCCTAGATCAACCTCAAACATTACATTCAGCTCGTTCCACCCCCTACCCCATCCGCGGGCTTTTTTTTTGTTGTTGTTCAAACTTCTGCTATAGTACTGAGTACGCTGGAGGTAATCAGGATTGCCCTGGACCATTAGTTCCTCTAGGAGAGAGACAGCATCTTATTTGTCTTTGTGATTATAGGGTCTGGCAGAGTCCCTGGTACATAATTAGTATTCAAGAAGCTGTGGAATACTGAATGAATTGTTTGTTTCCCTTAATAGATTCTAAGTTCTAAGAAGGCAGGAATCTTGTCTACTTTACTGTTTTTAATCCCCAGAAACCCCTGTGGTGCCCGATTCCCTAAGGATTAGATGAATGAAAGCAAGAACAAATATCAGTCTCTCTGTGCAGGTTGCAGAGTGTGAATTTCCCCACAGCATTCCTTTTCCTTTGAGCTGTATAATCCATGTAATCGTATCCACTCACCAAAAGCCCAAATGTCAGATTTGCTGCTGAACTTGCTGTACATAAGAACTTCTGGTGGAGACCACCGGACAGGGAATTTGGAGCCTACTGAGCTTGTATATTCATCATCCAGAACATACCTGCAAAGGATTCAGGACTTGTTGCTGTTACAATTTGGAGAGTTTGATATTTGCTTAAATTTTCTTGGCAGAGCCATAAGAATTGCACAAATACTACAGGCCAACCAGTGTCTTTTACAAATGCCATTACTAACATATTCCTGTTTTCATATCCAACTTAGCTTTCCTGATTGACAATATAGTTACAGCAAGGATTAAGTGGAATAAGGTCTAATAGGTACTCCCTTTCCTCTTTTCTCTTTTCCCATCCTTCCCTTCCTTCAATTCTGCAGTCAACAGTGGCAATTAGGCTCATTAGGAAAGGAGACAGAGTAAAGTCAACAGGATTAACAGAACAAGACAGAGTATAGGGGAAATTAGCTTTTAAAAAAAGAGCAAAGGAGAAAGGAGAAGAGAGGGCTATAACAATAAAACAGA